CCGAGGCCTGGGCTGCTGGGTCTGCCATCCTTGTATTTACCTCTGTCCTTGGAACTTGGTTCACCAGCTAGAGAAGTGCTGGCCAATTAGATAGGACTTAAGTAGTAGTTGTGTCTGTCAGGTTTTCTCTCCCCCATCGTCCAGAGTATTCCCCTTACAGCTTCATCTGTTGGGTGTTCTTGGGAATGGCAGGTGATTTGATTGGCTTCCTCATCTTGGGAAATGACCCATCAGCCTTGGGTCCACCAGGTGACATGTCACCCAGAGGTCTGGTTAAAGGCCTGCTCCTCCCCCCATCATGAGGAAGCTGGGGGGTCCCACGTGCTGGTTGCAGCTTGGAAGCTCTGGGTTTTCTGGAAGTTACAGAGCCGTCTGTGCTTCTGTGTGCAGTCTGAGCTGGGTTCTAACCCCAGCCACTGCCCTGCCCACTCAGTGGCCACCCCCCCCTTCAGGGCCCTGGCAGGTAGTGAGTGGGTGGGCAGAGGCACCCTCGCAGCCATCGATGCCTCATCCTTCCTCTTTGAAGGATCTGATGCTGCTGCCGATGAGGGCTACTTCATCTATTAAACCCAATACACTTGTCGCAGCTGCTAAGCCCCCGTAAGCCGCCGGGCGCCGTGTTTGTGATGGGACTGACAGTGCATGGAGGAGGCTGATTATACACGATTCCATTTCGCGGGCCCAGCAATGTAATTTCACAGGGCGATCAGCGTTTGCATGTAATAGCAGGCTGTGCTGAGGTGTCAGAATATTAAAGGCGCTAATGGCAAAGCTCCCTGTTACACAGGGGGCCACCCGCCGCGCCTACAGCAGGGCTGCGCGGCAGGCCCGTCGCAGATGGCTGGCCACTAAGCTAATGGGGCAGCAGCCAAGGCGGGCAGAGCCGCGAGAGAGAAGAGCCAGCCGGGAGCAGCTCGGCACCTGCTTCCCCGCGCATGGAAATTACAGCAGCCCAGGGGACGGGAAGTGTGTGTGCCTGCCTGGCACAGGGCTGCGGTGGGGTGGTTTGGTAGACCCAGCATCTTTCACCCCAGCTCCACCTGCCCCACTCTTTGGCCAGGAAGCCACAGCTGGGCAGATGGGTCCTGGTGGCCAGGAGAGGGGCAGCTGGGGAAGTGGCATCCCAAGAATTTGGAACCAGTATGGAAAAGGGGCTTGGGCACAGGCTCTTGGTGAGAGCTCTTAAAACATTTTCCCACCGCTTGCTGACTGAGGTCAGAAAACTCCTAGGTCCTTGCAGGCTGGCAGGAGAGAAGGAGGGAGCAGGGAAAAGGAGCCGGTGGAAGAAAGGGGAAGGACAAGTAATAAGGTCCCTTGATTGATGCCCCTGTTGCCATTGGAACACAGAGCTGGGAGGCAGCACCTGAAGATGGGGCGGGCTGCCCCAGCCACACCCAAGCCCTGGTCTGTGCTCTCACCAAGCCTGCTCCTGCCATTCTCCTTTGTCCTTGCTGTGTCTCCTGCCTGGAGTGCTGTCAACCCCCTGCCCAGCCCTCCACTACCACTCCCTCCAGGAAGTTTTCCTAGCTGCTTCCAACCCCACACTGGCCTGCTTCTCTCCAGTGCCCCTGTGGGCAGCCGCAGGGGATAGCCTCCCTGATTCTCCTGTTCTGCTAGTTCCCTAGGTCCCAGCCTTGACTTCTTAGCCAGAATCTCCGAGACATAACCCACATCACCTTGTCCTGAGTGGGGCTCCTGGGAAGGCTCTGCTCAGATTCACAGATGGATGTAATCTTGGGGAGGATGTCTGGAGGGAGTGGGGAGTGGAAGGATGCACCGAGTAACCCAAGGGAGAGTTTGATGCCTGTGCGGTGTGCGCACTTGATGGTGTATGTATCTGGCAGGGAAGGACTTTAGAAGTGAGTGCTGGGGGTGGTGGGCGTGTGGGTACAGGTGTAGAAGGGTAGCAGGTGTGAGGATCCAGACCACACACAAGTAGGAACACAGATTGCTGTAGGGCCCTGTGTTCTCTGGGTGGCTTTCTGCATCTGCTGGCTGTGGCTGAGGGGTACCTCAGATGGCAGGAGTTGGAGGGAGCTTGTGAGACTGTGCCCTGGGACTGTGCCTGTGGGGGTTCCTTGAGGCTGGTGATCACTTCTGAAGGTTCAGCTCTGCAGGGTGTGTGACAGTACCTGGGGGAGACGTGCCAGGGTTCTCAGCAAGGGCAGCAGGGGGAGAGCCCAGGCTGAAGGAGAGCAGTTTTAATTAACCGTTTTTAATATCATTTTGGACTTTGGCTGGTATGTGAAGGCCCCGCTGGAAGCAGCATTTGTAAAAATTAAATCCCTCTTATTAGGATCTTGGCAGACCCATGTGCACGTGCTGCCCCCTGCCTCCCGCCTGTGCCCCCCTGAGGAAGTACTGGCTGAAGCCGTGTCACTGCAGCGGTTGGTTATCGTGCCTTATCTGGGAGTATGAAACTGGGCACATGACCCCGCGGCCACGCTGGAGACGCCAATTCATCTCGGCCTCGCTCTGACAAGCTAGGCTGCCCTTCCTGAAAGGCATCCGTCAGGCGGGACCGGGGCCGCTGCCTCGCCTGCTACCTCTGCTTCCCTGCCTGGGTTTTCGGCTTGCCCTCGTCCAGCCAGGCTCAGCCCGGCCCGCCACCCGCCTTCCACATGTCCCAGTCTAGGGGAGATCTTGGGGAGTCATAATTACTATAATAATCTAATCACAGTGACGCGTCGGGGCAAGCGTTATCTGAAGTGGTCTTCCCGCTGAGCTGCGATAAGACTCGGGGTGACGGGCAGATAACGGAGCTGCCCTGTCCCCAAGCCGCGAACAGCGCAGAGGGGCCTCCGCAGCCCGCTGCCCGCCCGCCGCTTTAAGCCGGGAAGCGGCAGCACCTGCTAATGCAAGTGTTTAATATTTGATGGGCTGGGATAAAGCAGGATCACCTTCGAATTGAATTGAGTGTCAGCCGAGAATCTATTACTGAAATTCGGGTGTGATTTGACAGCAAAGTAGACGATGTTATTCTTCACTAGTTACTGCAATCTTCTCCCCGACATCACTTAAATATTTTTTTCTTTGCTTGAGTAAACACACATTATCCTTCTTTTTTCCCCCTTCCTTCCCTTTTTCCTTTTTAGAGGGGGAAAAAAATCCATCCAGCTCGCCTTCTCCAGGCTGATAGGGTAGATTGTTATTTCTTTATTTGTCCTATTAAATGGAATTTCTGATCGTTTAATCCGGCCTTTGTAAGTGATTTTAAAGTACTTGAAAGCCGGCCCGCCACTGCTCTCTGGCCCACTGCGCTCCAGCCATGGCCCTGACCAGGCTTAGCAGCTCGTCCAGCTGTGCACCACCCACTGGCTACTTCCCTCGCTGCCTGCCTTCCCCCAGCTCTGCCCTGGCCACAAGCCAGTGTTCTCTCCCCTGCCCTTGAGCCTCACACTCAGCCCCTGATTTGGGGGTCCAGCTGTTGCCTGGGAAAGCGTGGAAGGGTTGGCTGGGACGTTGAATTGTGGCTGGTACCTCTGTGGTCAAGGAAAGCGGCTCCGGAGGGCGCTCAGGTTGGAGGACTCTGAGGACCAGGGCTTGGTTCCTGCAGCTGGGAAAGAAGCGTACCAGCCCCTTGGCCTCAGCACGGACTCTGTGTCCAGCCTCCTGTCTTTGGTTTTTGACTCTGTGTTAGGCCCTCCTTGCTGTGAGGGAGTCTCTCGTGGGATGGGGACCTCCAGGCCGGGGCATGGGTGGGGACACTGCAGTGCCTGTCTGAAGTGGCTGCAGTCCCCTTAGTTCGCCTCATGGTCTCCGCACTGAGCTTCTGGGAACTCCCCCGGGCTACACTCCTGTTGACCACATCCCATATGCTTCCTGCCACTGGGAGCAGGGTAGCCTGGGGTTCCAGGACTTAAAAGGTGAGGGGATGGGTAATGTCTGAAGGCCAGCCAGCTACACAAGCCCCCTGGTAGAAGCCCAGGACTTCGCTAGCTGGTGGAGCAGGAACTCAGTTCACACTAGGCCACTTAATAGCATTCTAACCCTTGCAAGTCTCTTCTTTCTGGGCCTCAGTTTCCTCATCTGTGATGTCAAGTCTGTTGTGCCAGTAAGGGATTGTGAAAGGAAAGTGCCATCCCTTGTCCTGCCATGTACCGCCCCCTCACCATGGAGGTTGGTGGCGGCCAGGTGGCGCGAGCAGGGGATGGAGGGGGGCAATGAAGTGCTAGGGGCCTGAGCAGATCGATGCCCCCAGCACTTCCTTCCCCAACCCCAGGAAAACAATTAAGTACAGATCGATGGGTGGCCGCTTTGAATATGCATAAGTGAGCACTTGACCTTCAGCAGAGATCTGTTCCCCCTACCACACACACATTCTGGTGTGCACACACACGCACAAACACACACACACATACACACTCTCTCTCTCTCTCTCTCTCTTCATGTGTTCCCCTCACAGCTGCTTGAGTCGACCAGGTGACCTTAGCCCTCCTCTGTTGAGCCCACGCATGGCATTCAGCCTTCCACAGCCTGGCCTGCCTCTCGGTCTAAAGCAAACAGACCAAGGGCAGGTGGTCAGCCCCCTCCTGCTTCAGTTTTCCTATACAGAGTGCAGTTTGCATATGTTGGTCTCCAAGTACTTTCTGACACCAGGCTTTGTGACCAGCAGTACTGTGGGGAGGGGCCCAGCACAGTGCTGGGTACCCTAGGAGGGTTATCTAACAGGGCTGCCTGGTGAAGGGGGTGCCCTGATGACACGATGGTCCTGAGAAGGAGGGTCTTAGTAAATGGGAGCTCTCTAGAGGAGACTGGTAAGGGGGTATCCGTTGGGGGCTGGAGGTCTCTGATGGGGAGATGCCTAGGACAAAAGGACCTCTGAAAGAGGAAGGGATTTTCTGGTGGGGGCCCTGGTGGAAAGGGGACCTAGTGCAGGGACTCTCATGAAATGACATAATGAGAGTAAGCCCTTAGGGGGAAGATTTGGCTGGAGGGTGGAGGTGGTGAGTCCTGGGGGTCAGGGCCTCTGTTAACCATTCTTGCCTCCTGTCTTCCAGGCTTACAGCTTCGCCATGGGCTGCTGGCCCAAGAATGGACTTCTAGACATGAACAAGGGCCTCAGCCTTCAACACATAGGCCGGCCCCACAGCGGCATTGGTCAGTCCCTCCACATATACCCCCTGGCAGCTCAGTCAGCCCCCTGCCCGCATGCCCCAGTCCCCTGGCACACAGAGGGGTTCTGTGGCTCATCGTGTGCTCTAACGGGGTGCTTTCCATAGCTGGGGGGAGTGGGGAAGGAGGGTGGTGTACCGGAAAATGGAACCAGACCACTGGAAAAGATCTCTCAAAACACTGTTTAGGAGGAGACTGGGGTCTGGGCTTTGGGTGGGTCATAGGTGGCCTTGGATTCAGGGCAAGATGCCCCCACACCTGCCTGCATCTCTGGTGGGTGATGTCCTCAGAGGGGTGGGCACATGTCAGCTTACCACCCCCTCCCCGTGGAGCTAGAGGAGACTGTTTAATATTGTTTCAAGTCTGTGGCTACTAAACTGGGCGATCAATGGGAGTTAAGGAGATGAATTATTTAAACCTCACCAGCTTTTAATTAGTCGGGGTCCTTCTGACCGATGGCTCCGTCCACAGGGTATTGACTCCCCCGCAGGAGCACAGCCTCCATTGAGCGGTGCCTGGGTTGGGAGGGGCCACTTGGGGTACCAGGTGGGGGTGCATCCTCAGAAGGATCCTTACTTGGAGGGGGCTGGAGTGGCTGTGGTTCTGGGCATTGGAGGCTCTGCTAACTTCAGATATATCAGTATTGGGCGGGGGTGTGAGTGAGTGTAATGATATATCTGGGTTGATTTTCCTGAGGGCATTGGTCTGTATATGGAAGCGACCATCAACCTGTATGTGTATCCACCCGAAAGTGTGTCTGTTCATTTCTGTGTATCTGATTTTCTGTGTGTGAGCACACGTCATGCAAATGCTTTCAGGCGGGGTACTTGACAAGCACAGGCTTTTGTTCCTGTGGGGAGGAGCAGGGGCGGGGGGTGGTACTCCTGGGAGGGGGTATAATCATAACCTGTGTACCTGTGGGGAGCTATGGTGGCAGAGGCACCAGCAAGATACACCAAAAGGACCCAGTCACCTGTCACAGACTAGCCCTTCATCCTTTCCACAGAGATCACTGGTACCTGGTGGGTGCTGGGCATGCTGAGTGGAGATGCTTGTCCTCAAGGAGGTCACATCCTAGCATGAGATGGAGACTGAACTAGATACTAAGGGCTGTGATAGGAGCACCTAGGCTGTCCCAAGGGAGGATTCCCCTGTCTTCAGGGGCCAAAGTGACTTCTGCTCATTTATGTACATCTCACTGACTTCAGGGATGCCGTGTATCATTCTTGTTGGGACACCCCAAGGCCCCTCTGGGGTCCAGGGTGGGGGAAAGAGGAATCAGTCAGCAGCTCTAAGGAATTAGGGGTACCCCACAGCAACTGCTATTCCCTTCCATAGGAGTTATCCCATACAACCTGTAGGAGACCCCAAACCTAGCAAGGTCATATGCGTGGGAGCTCAGCAGGGAGTTTCCTAGAGAAGAAAGACTTCTGAGTCAGGAGACCCTTGCAGGATGATCAGGAGTCAGCACGCACTGCCAGTAGTTGAGTCTCGCTGCCAGTGGGATCATGGGGCTGGATCGGCCTTGAGCTGGGTGCCCTGTGTCTGTGGATGTGTCCCAGGGTGTGTTTGTGAGAGGAAGAGCTTCCTCCTCCCTCTCTGTTAGGACTCCTGAGGTGTTCCCTGTCTAGGGGACAATGGGGTAAAGGTTTTGGAGCTAGAAGTAGTTCTGGCTCTGCCGCCCAGAGCCCTGTGACCTCAGACAAGGGACAGTGCCAGTGCCTCTCAGGGCTCTTAGGGAGGTTCTGTGAAGCTGCCTGTGTAAAGGGCTGTGCCGTGCCTGGCCCGGCACATAGTAGGTGCTCAAGCAGCTACCCCTCCCCCGTGGCCCTGCCAGCACCGTGGCCTCCCCAGGGCCCGTGGGGTTCCTTGCACTGGGTCTTTGTATCTCTGAGCACAGAGGGCTGCCCTGCCAGCTCCCAGCTGGCTCCGAGGTGTGGGTGAGGGTGTTTGGAGGGGAGGGAGGATGCAGGGCATTAATTGGGCTGGGAGAGGCGGGGAGGGGAGGCGTTGGTTTTGAGCAGTGAGGTTAATGGCCCTCGCGCCAAAGAGACAGCTTTAATGAGCTTCAGCTGGCTGTGCCCTGAGTTACTGTGCGTGCTAAAAGGGTCGCGCTGTAAGAGTTTGATGTGGACTGTTTCCCAGCCCTGGGGTCAAGGGTCAGCTCCTGTCACTGGCCACTCAGGCTGGTCCTCAGTGACATAGTGCTAATTAACTGCGTGAGGAGCTGCCAGCCTCAAGTGGGGAGTGGTATGCATATTGGGGGGGGGCGGCATTGGTGATGGGGGCCAAGGGTTCCACAGATCCCACAGCTTAGCCATCTCTGGGATCCGCTTGGCTCTCCCATGATGCAGTGTGGGGGTGGGTAGGCAGTTTCTCTGTGCACAAATCACTGATGATCCTAGGACCTAGAGAGAGCTCCTGAGCCTCCTCCTAAGGTATGGGTGGCAGGGACAGTTTGTGGGCCTACCTGGGTGGGCTGAGCGCCAGGTGTGGTGGTGCTGAGAGAGAGGAGCAGGCGTGCTAGAGGGTTGGGCGGCCAGCCCGGGGCTGGACGGTAGGCCATAGAAGGGGAGAGGGCCCGCTGGGATGAATGTGCATGGCTGAACTGTTTGCGGGGAAGCCGGGGGGCATCCTGGCAGAGCAGTGCCCTGGTCAGAGTTGGGCTGCAATTCGAGCAGTCTGAGAGGTTTCACGGGGAGGACTAGCAAGAAGAAACTCTAGAGGGGGTGGTTCTGTAAGGTTCATGGAGGCCATGGTTAATTCAGAGCCAGCAGGAGCCGTGGGAATGGAGGCAGAAGACCCGTCAGTGAATGTTTACCTTGCACCTGTTATATGTGTCAAGAGCTGTGATAGGTGTATTGGTGAGGATGTCAGAGTGCCCTGCCCCCACGGAGCTCAGGTACGGTCGTCAGCACAGGTCCAGTTGGCCCTGGCTGCGGAGGGAGAGGTGGTGGAGCTCTAGGCAGACAGGGGTGTCAGGGGCTGTCAGCATGGCTTCTGAGTCAGGAGAGGGACATGTCCTCCTCGGTTGGTGGATTTGGCCTTGCGAGCCCCATGAACAGCGTGGTGTGGAGTGGGGTGTGGGTGAAGAGGGACCACGAGTGGGGGACTGCTGACGCCTGGCGGTATGCGGACTCCCGTCTGCACCCTTGCTGTGGACCAAAGGCTTCGGGGCAGGGCGGCCTCCGCAGGTGGCTTCGGAGCGCTGTGTGGTGCTTCTCGTGTTTCTGCAAAGGGTCAGCAAGTATTTGGGGGGGCTCTTTATTAACGTAATTTTCACATCAGTTTTATGGAAGGCAGGCATTAGCATTCCCGTTTTATAGACTAGGAAGTTGAGGTCACAGCTGGTTGAATTGAAGAGCAGGGCTCAAACCCAGGTCCGTCTGAGTGCAGGCTCTATGTTCTTACTGCTGTGCTGAACTAGGAGGCACCTTTTTGGTGTTGGGCTTTGTGCTACCAACAGAGACATGAGGAAGAACACAGGCTCACTTCCCTCATTTTCCTCAATCAGTGTGAACAGACAGGCCTTGACAAAGCCTTGTCAAGGAAGAAAGGAAAGGAGGCATTGCCACCCTTTCTTTTACGCCTGCTACAGTTGCCCTCAGAGCCAGAGCCCAGCAACTCTTGGCTTCTGACCTCCTTCTGGCTCTGACAGTTCTTACTCTGATTTGTTTGCTCTCCACCTCATTGACCAGGAAAATCCTGCCCCTTTTCCAGGGGCCACCTCTTCTGGGAATCTTGTCTGGACTTCCCAGTGTGCATGTACAAAATACATCCTTGGACCGCACTCACAGTTTGTCAGAGGTGATGTTCAGGCTCTCCATACTTGATATCTCTAACAGCAGGTCCCAGAAATCTGCATAGGAAATGTCAGTAAAATCTCACCTGTTTTGGGGACATGGAGGCCCCACAGACTGCTGATTTCAGCTGGCTAGGAGAGTAACTGGAAACTTCCCTGATGCCCATGGGGTGGTCCTGCCCTGGTTCCTTAGCTCCTCTGCTCAGGGCCTGAGGAGGGTCCCTCTGAGGCTCATGGTAAGGAGGGACAGCCAGACACCAAGTGGACTCTCAGGAGGTCGTTGCCCAGTGTGGTTTGGCAAAAAGAGCTGGGCTGGCAGGAGGCAAGGTGGGAACCTGGCCCCAGGGGGGCAGTACTGGCCTGTGGTCTCCCCTGAAGGAGTAGGGTGTCTATCAAGAGTCCAGTCAGAGCACATTAGCTCTGTGACACGGATCTCATTAGCTCCCGTGAGAGGTGTCACTGCAGGAGAATCGTCGGCTCAGGGAGATGCTTGTACCAAAAGGAAGAAAGGACAGTGACAGCCTTTTCTCTGCCGCCTCTGCTGCCACGCTCCCTGGGCCGCCCGCCCTCCTCCTCGTGGGGGTGTGGGGGTGCTGGCTAATGAGCTCGTCTATAGTACAGCTTTGCTTTCCCCTCCTTGAAGTTCCCCAGGTCCCTCTGAAGACCTCAGGCCCGGGATTAGCACACACCAAACGCCAGCCCCCCTCTTGCCCAGCAGGGAGTTCCTTCTGATCACCCTGCTCTGCTGCCATCGGAGAGGGAAAGGAGGTGGGGCCAAGACAGAGCCACTGTGGCTGTCAGGGAGGGGGTTTTCACCCTTGGAAGGCTCAGGCCCCTCTTCCTCCCTTGACAGAGTGACCATGTTCACTTCTCTGCAGTGGGTTCTTTCTTTCCAGAGTTGCAGTCTTATCTTCCCCTCCCCCTTACCATTGACATCTATCCAGGCAGTGCCCCATCCCTATGGGGCACCCTTCTCCCAAGGCACAGAAGAATGTGGGGACAGTGGCCGAGGGTTGAGCGGGTAGCATTTAGATCTGGTCTGATCTAAGGCTTTCTGGCTGAGCTAAGGGCCTTCAGAATCAGCTAAAAACCAGTCTGGGCTTTGGAAGACCTGAGGGTGGTGAGTATTGATATAAGGCCCCTGCAGACCTAGTAGCCCTCTCCCTGGCTATCCCAGAGAGGC